ACGTCCCCGATGGTGCTCAAACCAGGTAGCGTGCACGCTACGGAATTCACTCATGAACACACACACCAACCACCATCACGTATTCGTCTCTTACCAAAATCGTCGTCGGAAGCTGCTGCTGCCAGAACCGCCTCCGCAACCGCTACGCATCACGCAACGCATGCTTCAACACCAACGCTAACCAATGCTAATCTAGCTTCAGAACTAGACGAATGTGCTGCGATTGGCTTGTATTGTCGTGGAAACACTGTGTGTCGTAATCTTAGCTGTCAGTGTCCTGACGGTTACGTACTGCATAATGACGGATGTGTCCCGCCAGATGAAGCTGGCCGACGTAGGGTTGGCGCCAAATCCAGACATCAAGGTTTGACTTCGGACTTTTCCTGGTCACATTTTTTGGAGCCGGCTTTACTAATTCTTTACCTCTGTCGGAAGGACTAACAAAATCTCAATGACTATCAAACCATACGTCCAAAACCAAAAAAAAGAAGTTCTTCAAAGTATTTGCCTTAGCTGGAGCGTAATTCGAATTGATTTGCAGAAGTCATACACATTTAGAGAAATGTACGCATATTATCGTAACCCTTAAAAAAACTAGCTTTCTCGATTTTGATCCGAGTACAAAAAAAACAAGCCCTGTAGAAGAGTTCACTGAGGCGGATACAAATCGAATTTCGCCTGGGTTTGTAGCATACTGTAGCGTCGTAAAAGAGCCGTTTTGAGAATATCTAAGCACTGTCTGATAGCTGAGTTTTTATTCAAAACTTTGCTCTAGCTTATCACTTTGCACCCATACTAAAGAAAGAATTATTTTATAAAACTGTGTTCTTCTATCTGCACTTTCTCAACGGTGTCACTAACAAATGGGCACTTAGAATTCCATGACTTCGTTCACGCTTTCACAAAAACACACAGCACAAATCACCTAATCTGCACTACCCCGTTTAGAATCACTAAAATCAAAAATGAACTACTTTTACACAGGTACACCAACATACGCTCGACCAGGTCAACAGTGTGCGAATGGAGAGATATGCGTTGGTGGAAGTTTCTGCAAAGAAATGACGGTAAAGATTGAATTATAAACTTTGCCATATTACTGTAATGATTGACTATGCATTTGAAGGTTTGCGCGTGCCCACCCGAGAAGCCAATCTTGCAAGGAGATACTTGTATCGCACAACAATATAAAAAAATCGCGACACCAGGAGAGTCCTGTGACGAAAATACTGAATGCACCAAAGAGAGCACGTAAGTTCATACAACTCATGATCTATGTAGTGAAAATGGATAAGCCGTTTCAAACCACTCGCAAAAGTGTAAGAACTTGCTTGTGCGCACAGCTCGTTCGATTTTACCCTATTGCTCCGTCTTATAAAATTGGCCAATCACGACTGACGCTAACCAATCACAGAAGCGCCGCTATGGCGCGCGGTGCAAAAAGGCCGTTCCTTTAGTAGAATCGCGATTTTCATCTTCCACAGGTGCCAAGGTGGACAATGTCGTTGCCAGTATGGATACATAGCTGTGTCTGGACAAT